AATTATTCAAGGTGTATGGTAGGCTTTACCTAGGTGTATTGGCCTTTTTATACGTTTTTTTTGTCAAGATTTGCTCCACAGTGTGTGCCAGCATGCTCAAGGTCGCTCATGGTTGGCCTCTGTAGCAGGCTTATAGAACTGGGGGTTTGGTGGTCTTCGGCTGTTTTCTGATTAGCCCAGTTCTAAAAAAAACGGGGGTAATTCAACCAGGCCGGCCATGTTGTCTATATGCAATCAGAAAATAGCACATAAAAGCTCCCAAAGACCATGAAGACCCCCCAAACCCCCAGTTTTTGGCATGCTATGGAGGCCATGCTGTGGAGGCTAGGTCCTGTAGTATTTTGTTGCGTGTAAGAAGATCGGGTTGCACACCAAAACAGAACCCAGGACATAATCTAATTTTCTACACATTTACGACATTGGGACTTTATATAGGTCCCCTGAGGGACATACACTACTAGTATATAGCTCCCTTGTGGCGGCGGACCTTCGTATGGTCTCTATAGAGACGTTGCAGACGTAGTTGGTAGCATTGTCACTCATTGTGGGTGACGCATTGAATCTGTAATTGAATAAACTTCCGCTAGAGGGGGTTAATTAATGGGCTGAAAAGTGGTAACTATACTGTTTGCTCATTTTATCCGCTCTGTATCACCAAGGAGATTAAAATCGTGATTTTCAACTTCCTTGGTATTACAGAAGTTAGATCTGGACGCATGTATCGAAAGGCATCGAAATACTGTGTCTCAGCTCAACTCAGAAGAGCGTTATTTACAGAGAAACTGTTTGCTGTCTAGTCTTTGTTTGTTTCGCATAACCAGTAAACCAACCGCCTTTAGGCGTAAAACACCAGTTTTGTGTACATGTACAGTACAAGCTGCATAAGACCGGACTGTAAGGTTTGAACCACTCACACCGGGAAGGTGTCTTTTGGATAAGTGCGGTGGGACGTGGCTCTCCCCAAACACGGGACCTCCGTCCTATCCGAGGGACGTCCCCAACCGAAGCTAGGTACTCATTTACACCTGAGTGAAATGAAGAAAATCGTGTAAAGTACACAAGATCGGTAACATGGGTAGGATTCGAGCCCGGGACCTCTTGGTACTGAGCCGAAGACGCTACCACTACGCCACACGACCCCACCACAGTCTTATCTGTTTGTCACATCTTCCAGACACGGAGGATTTTTAAACCTCCTCGCAGACACGAAGGTTTTCGGAGAATGTTGAACTTGGTTGAACAGAGGAGTTTACAGTAAAGAAGGCGGAATTCTGTTGTGCAACGTTTCAACAAGAGTATAGGCACGAGAAAAGAAAATACTCTAAAATCTTAACAGTTGGAATACAGCCGAAAACTTTGGGAAAATCGATTGGTGGTTGTTTTTGCAACAACGATACTCGCTACCAGTGTGGAATACATTCGCAACTTTGAGTTTCCTTTATTTCTGTACCGAAAAGGCAACAATGTTAACCTAGTTTTGCAGTTCTTTCAAGAACAAGAATCAATGTTTATGGTGAAAGGGAACAACAAGGAAATAGCCACACAAAAAAGCCAAACAACGAAAGTTTGTATATAAAACCTGGCGCGTGAAATTCGCCTTCTAAAAGGCCACGAATGTTTTCAAATGTAACGTAGGTACTCCTAAAACAGTTCCTCAAGCAACTGGATATAAACAGTCAGACGTTTCAGGTTGTATCCCCTACCTTTTGTCAGTGACACTAGAGAACTTGTGCAGAAAGGCAGGTTTATAAGCAAGAACTATTGATTGATACACAAATAAATTTTGCTTATAAACCTGCCTGTCTGCACAGGTTCTCTAGAGTCACTGACCCTTTCCAAAATCATATCCAGTTGCTTGAGTAACTGCTTTTGGCGTGTCTTATTACCTGGATGTCTAACCTTCACCAACGTAGCGGTAGGAAGATGAAAAATCTATTGTCCTGGGTACGTCCCAGGTAAAACTTTGTTACACAACGGAGACGTATGTCTGGAAATGCGACCTTTCGAGTTCACAGTTTGAACACATCTTTTACGACAAAAATGAGATTCTAAAGCTATCGTCGGAAAGATAACAGCATCATAAAGAACAAAAGACCAAGAACAAAGGAAACTAATGAGGCAAAGTGAATTTGATACAAATTAATTCCCCCTCTACTTAGTCGGACAAAACAGAGACCAAACCTAAATGAAGAATTAAGTTCAACTTGGCAGCCCACAAAAAAAAAAAAGAAAGAAAGAAAAAAAACGCCTGCGCCCGTCTTGTTTGCTTTGCACCATCCTCTTGGTAACAGCTAATTCGCGAATAACGAAGTGTCTGAGATGTTTTGTTAGAGAAAAATCCCCCGGGGTTTGCTTTAAGGACATGCGTCATTCATTTCATGATGCACCCGGTTGAGACGTGGTCTTTAAGAGATCAAAAGTAGCCTCGGCAACGTGTTTAATTGACCGCAAAGATGAAATCATTTCTCAATTCATCACCAGGTCTTGGGAAAACATCGGTTGAGCCACGCCTCGATACGAGAATTCAATGTTGTCTCCGTAGACAATAAATACATGGTTTTGTTTTACAGCGAAGAACAGAAAGAAAATGAAATAATTTCTTAGCTCATCAGCAGGTCTTGGGAAAAACCTCAGTTGAAACACGCCCAGATACAGACGAATTCAACGTATTATAATCACATCAAGACAAGTGAAACATGAAAAATGTTTATTTATTGTTGTCTCGTAGATAATAAAATACATGGTTTTGTTTTAACGATAAGAACAGGAAGAAAATGAAATCATTTCTCTATTCATCACCATGTCTTGGGAAAGCATCGGTTGATACCCGCCCAAATAATGACGCATCCAACGTATTAGAACCAAATCAAGAGGAAGATTATAAATGTTCTCCCTACACAAAAAGATATCTACACTTTGCAACGAAGCAAATTAATAAACAAAACAAAACAAGACGACGTAGGAGAAAATCATGATTCAAGGTCGCGTGGCGTAGCGGTGGAGTGCTCGCGACTCGGAACCAAGAGGTCCCGGGTTCGAGTCTTGACATGCCGACGATCTTGTGCCCGTGGGTAAGGTACTTTACACGACTTTCCTCACTTTGCTCAGGTGAAAATGAGTATTGTCTGTCCCCTGTGTTGGTGGCGCCATTAATATAAGTTGAAAAAAAACTTGAGAGTGTCGTCACCACGTCTTGTGCTTACATGTTGTAATTAAAAACAAAGGAAGATCGCACAGAAGTACAAACACGCATCCATTCGTTTGCACCTGTTGGCTTTGAACATGGTTTTAATTTGTTGTACTGCGTTGTCATTGCCAACCACAAGTCAACATCGACGCTTTACAAATATCAAATTGATCTTTTGACCCCGGTCCTTTTTGTGTCTAGACAGTGTGGAGCTTTTTTCTGTGCGTGTGCCGTCAGGTAGAACAAATGCGAATATCTCATGTACATGGTGAAGACACAACAGACTTTTTTGTGTGCTAAGTACGTGTATAGTCTCTACCAGACTAACTACGCTGGCTATACAGGAGAATATTTGCCAGGGGAGTTTGGCCGCCTTGGGGTTTGATTGGCCGCGCAGTTAAAAAAAACCAACCTTCCGCGGACTGACTCTACTGGCAAATGTCACTCTCCTTTTTGCCGGATGCTACGATCCGTATTTCCATAGAAAGGCCTGGTGGAGGCTATATGTTCGATATGTTAGCTACACATTTTGCGGCGTTTGTGAATTTGTGTTCTGGTGCTGAACAAATGATTGTGAATATCACAGTGGCGAAGGCAATTATATTAATCTCTACTTGGTATCATACATTAAAACACATTATTAAAATCGTGAGAACTTCACTTGTCTGAGACCCAACTGCCATTGACGAACTTTATTCTTCTCTTTACGACGTTTTACACTGACCCCGAAAGACACAAATAGACACAAATTTGCAAAGGGCACTGTCATCAATGTAACGCCTGCAACCATGCTTACGTTCGTTATTGTTGATAACAAAAATATAATGTAGTTTTATCCTGCAGAAGCGCAAGAGAAGAGCTATAAAATCAATAACAGTTCAGCCTCGTTAAGAACTTCAAATTTGAATGAACAATAGAGGGAATACTTTTTACTTCTACTGGAAACTTCAGACTGATGCGAGTGTAATTTTGTTCCAGTCGCTCTTGACATAGAAGTCATCTCCGCCTGGCCTTCAGCTAACCTGCACTAACTTGGGACATGTACATAAACATCTAGCTTCAGTGCACAGTGAACTCTACTATTGAAACACGAGTGTTAGATCTTTATATAGTTGTAGAAGACCATACAAAAGTCCCTGTACTTTTTTGTTGTGTCAATAAAGAATCTCTCTATGTAATTTTGTTCCTGTGGCTCCGGACATAGAAGTCATCTCCGACTGGCCTTCAGCTAACCTGTGCTACCTTGGGACTCGTTACAGAAACATCTAGCTTCAGTGCACATCTACAACTATAGCTTCAGTCGTTGTGAATAAAAGAACTTTGCTAGTCTCGAACTAACACGAGTGTGATTTTGTTCCAGTGGCTCCGGACATAGAAGTAATCTCCGCCTGGCTTTCAGCTAACCTGTGCTAACTTGGGACTTATTACATAAACATCTAGGTTCAGTGCACAATGAACTTTACTATTGAAACACGAGTGTTAGATCTTTAGTTGTAGAAGACCATACAAAAGTCCCTGTACTTTTTTTGTTGTGTCAATAAAGAATCTCTCTATGTAATTTTGTTCCAGTGGCTCCGGACATAGAAGTCATCTCCGACTGGCCTTCAGCTAACCTGTATATAGTGTACTAACTTTGCTATTCTAACACGAGTGTAATGTTGTTCCAGTCGCTCCGGACATAGAAGTATTCTCCGCCTGGCCTTCAGCTAACATGTACTAACTTGGGACTTGTACATAAACATCTATCTTCAGTGCAGAGTGATTGTGAATAAAAGAACTTTCCTATTCTAACACGAGTGCAATTTTGTTCCAGTGGCTCCGGACATAGAGTTAATCTCCGCCTGGCCTTCACCGGACCTGTACTACCTGGAGACCCTGACCCTGACGTGTTACGGCGGCGGGGACCCGGCACCGACCTACACCTGGACGCTAGACTCGGGCCCGGTGCCGGCCCGGGCCGTAGTGGACACGGCCGCCGGCACACTGACCCTGGCGGACGCCACCGACGCCGACGGCGGAGTGTACACCTGCACGGCCGACAACGGCGTGGGCACCGCCGCTACGCTCGACGTCACCGTGGTGGGATGTCCTGACGTGAGTGTCGTTCAGTTCAGTTCAGTTTAGTTTATTTCGCACTTTAAAACAAAATGTAACAATACAAGGAAATATAAATGAAATGTAACAGTACAGGGAGGCCGGAAGCAAGAAATGCTTATGAGGAGGACTCCCTTCATAACGTGATTAACAATTCAAATAAATCGGATAAATAAGAAATAACTTAGGTAACGGGTAAATGAAACAAAACAATAAAATACAATACGATACAATACTATCTACAATAATGAAAAGTTCTGCTATATGGTGCTGAAACTTGGACATTAACTACACGCCTAGAAAAACGACTCGACGGTACTTACACCAATCTGCTACGCAGAGCTAAAAACCTCAGCTGGAAACAACATCCAACATTGACCAACGTCTATGGAAATCTCCCCAAAGTGTCCCAAAAACTCAGCCAAAGACGACTTCAGTTTGCTGGTCATTGCTATCGGGCGGATCAGGAGGTCATCTCCTCACTTATCCTGTGGAGGCCCAGGGGGAAAACACACTGCAGAAAACTGACCTACCCCAGTGTTCTCTCACGAGACACTGGGTACGACATTGAGGACTTAAAGTCAGCCATGGCAGACCGGGAGATGTGGGCAGGAGTGGTGCAGCGGCTAACCCCGTCCCCTAGGGGGGTCGACTGATGATGATGAATGAAAAGTAGTGCGATCACGTTTCGTCTAATGCTTAGATCACATTTCCAAATCGGGGCCCGGCCGGGCTGTTTGTATGAAGGAAAAACTAACAATTCATATCAAGAATATACAGAAATAGTGCCCATGGTTATTATCAAAAACTTTACTGTGTTTTGCTGTCTTTTGTATCGTACTTTTCGTCCCCAAAAGCTATCCGGTCGGGTTTCGAGTTTCGTACGATCACGTGGTTTCGCCTAGGCTTCTTTAGGGTCGATTTACACGGCAAAGGGCAAAAAAAAAATGTTAGCCTGGTTACCACACCTATTATAGTGGCGTCGTGTGGCGTAGCGGCAGAGTGCTCGACTCGGAACCAAGAGGTCCCGGGTTCGAGTCCTGACATGCCACCGATCCTGTGCCCTTGGGAAAGGCACTTTACACGACTTTCCTCACTTCGCTCAGGTGGAAATGAGTATTGTATTGTCCCCTGTGTTGGTGGCGGCATGAATATAAGTTTAAAAAACTTGAGCGTGCCGTCACCACGTCATGTGATTAGATGTTGCAATATAAAAAAAAAAACTATTACAGCTGCCGAGTCCTACATCCTCTCCGCTCCGCTCTATTTGCCGAGAGGATGTAGCACCTGGCAGCTATAATAGGTTTGGTTTTAAAGCTGATGTCACATTTCCAAACCGGGGCCCGGCCGGGCAGGTTTTGGGAACGAAAAGTACGATATAAAAGTCAACAAAACACAGAAACGTTTTTGATGATAATCATGGGCACTATATCTATATACTCTTGATTGTTAATTTTTCGTTAATACAAACAGCCGGGCCCCGGTTTGCAAATGTGATCTAAGCATTACTAGGCTAAAATGTATCATTTGGCCTGTGTCGATTTTCTGTGGCAGGACGCAGGCCAAGTGATATTTCTGCCCCATGTAAATCGGCTCTAATCTCAAAGCAGATGTCAGGCGACAAAGACGTTACGGCTAGAACTGGCTATCTATTCTTTTGTTGTGACCTGTACTTAACCCAGCGGGTATGTACGTAGAAGATGCGTCTACGTTGATCCATTCATTGTTACCTCCATGAAATGGAAGGTATTGTTTTTGGCGCGTCTGTGTGCGTGTGTGTGTGTGTGTGTGTGTGTGTGTGTGTGTGTGTGTGTGTGTGTGTGTGTGTGTATGTGTGTTTGTGTTTCCGCTTTTTTGTACCTTCATAACTCCATAACGCATTTATGGATTGTGGTGATATTTGGTATACTGGTAGGTGTTAGGGGGGCGAAGGTCAAGGTCAAATATGGGCCTCCTGGTGGATGGCCTTGGTACTGCAGCAGCACTTCCGGTTTAATGAGGAGTCTGCCAGACAGGGTAACAGATGTCTGATTGTGTCGAGGCTGCCCCGGGCTTGCGACCTGGTTTGATTAATGAGAGGTTCTTCCTCAGGGAATAAGGCGACCTCTGTGCGCTATGATGTGGAAAATTTGAGTGTTAGGGTGGATGGACACCCAGTGTTGACGTAATTTTGGCACTGAGATCTAGTTACCTCCATGAAAATGGAGGTATTGTTTTTGGCGCGTCTATGTGTGTGTGTGTTTGAGTTTCCGCATATTTGTAGTCAGCATAACTCCATAACGCCTTTATGGATTGTGATGATATTTGGTATGCTGGTAGGTCTTAGGAAGCCAAAGGTCAAGGTCAAATATGGGCCTCCTGGTGGAAGACCTTGGTACTGCAGCAGAACTTCCGGTTTTTGTATCTTTTGTCCTGAACATGTTATGGTCTTGATTTATGGGTGACAGATAGATTGTCCTGCCAGGAATAATTGGTGTGGGTTTGGTCCCCCTAGCAGCTTGTTCTGAAACTGCAGGGGACTTTCGGGGGAAAATCTTTAAAAGCCAATAGGTCCAGACAGGAACAATGTATTTTCATCATTTTTGGTAGGTAGGTAGCTGAGAGAGATGTACATAACTTAATGCAAATTATGCAAATGAGGACTTTATTTGCATAATAAATGAGGAAATTCTCTAATTACAGTGTTTTACATTGTAGTACTTTAATACATGTAATGTATGTAATCTTTGGCAGATGGAACATCAACAGATACCAATAATGCAAATTATGACCTCATTTGCATAATTAATGCGAAAATTCAATGGGTAAATGATGGGAATTTCCTACTTGGTGTAAATTGTAAATTCATCAAAAGTTAACATCACGATACATTAATTATGTTAATGTGGAGGTCATTTGCATAATTAAAGAGGAAATTTACATTTACACGTCAAGCCCATATTTCATGGAGGTATGTGATCTCAGATCTCTTGTTTGGGATGTCCCACTGGAAACTCCTTTTAAATTAATTCTTTATTTTTGTTTTCTTCCAACTCCAGATTTCTACCTGCACAGACAGCAACTCCTACTGCCCCAGCTGGGCGAGGGATGGAGAGTGTGAAAGCAACCCGGGCTACATGCTCTCCGCCTGTCAACTCAGCTGCGGCGTATGTTTCCCAAGTATGTCACATATATATGTAACGGTATATGTATAATACCTTATGTCCTACCTGGGCCGCGATTACGTTCGATACGGGTATTCCGGCCCGTGTGATAACTAGCGGTACGGCCCGGGGCTTCCAAATGTTCCACAGAACGATTCGAACGCGTTTCGCCCTAACCGCGTGCAACGCTTTCGAAAATTGGAATGCAAAATTCGGACGTTGGAATTGATGTTGTTGCACTTTTTGGGTTTAGGGACACCAACTTTCTGCTCATTTTGCATTGAAAGGCGTGTTTTCTTGGGTAGGTATGACATAAATAAAATACAACACGGTCCCAGCCCTCCCGCGGATCGGATCTCCCTCCGGCCTTCGGCCGTCTGGCGATCCGACGCGCGGTCGGGCTGGTACCTCGGGTGATACGGAATACCCCGTGTTGTATTCTATATATACAGCCCATGTATATGTATGATACCCTACAGCGCGTAACAGGAGTGTGTCGCTATTATGTTGTTGGACAAAACGGCTCATAGTGGAAACTATTGACTTGACTTGATGTGAGCTAAAACTGGATCGAGAATACGTTCCGCTTTTAACTGAGGTATAACAAAATCAAGAACGAAAACTAGAAGGAAAACCTGAGAGACAAGAGTTTTTATAACTATTCTCTTTTTTTAAACTTTCCGACTAACCTCAATACATTCTGCAACATTTGTAAATCAAATGTTATTTTCCTGATATCTTTCCCTCAGACCTGGGCGCCCATTGCACCAACACCCGCCGTGGCCGCTCCTGGGACACGTGGGAATGCTATGACGTCACGACCGTCCCGGATGACGTTCGGAGCGACCTTAGTCTGGACACATTCTACCAGGTTTGCAGCCTTTCTTTTTATTTTATTTATTCAAAATTGCGACATGACAATACAAAGTGTGCACTAGGCAGCAAGTATGCTGATAGCGTGCACACCTAACACATACCTGGAGATATGACATAGAAAAACAACAATAAATAGAAAGGTAACATTTGCAAGCAAATGCAATATGTTTACCTCTGGGTGGTCTTGCCTACCATTTTTGCCCATACATTGTATTTGAAAAGCCCGGGTGTTCCTTAGCGCTGGGGTCATTGATCCGTGGTCGTCGAACTCGAACGTTGTTCTAAAATTCGAAACGGGTTCTTAAGTTCGATTTTTGGCTTAAAATGCAACTTTTTTTCACACATTTTTTGCCAATAAAATCATTTTTTTGACATCTATGTTGGCCAAAATAACCAAAGTTCAGTGTCTTATTTACCAACTTACCAGCATACTCGTACCAGCAAAGTTTTGCAGCCTTTCGTTTCTACCTCTGCTGTCAAACTATTATACATGACCCTGTAGAAAACTAGAGTCCTGTGCAGGCCTCCGGGCGGGTGGAATTTTTGATACTGCGTTTTGTAAAATAACGCGTTTTTTTGACGGCCATCGGATGATCCTACATAGCCTGGTGTCCAGTCTTGTTTAAACACTAGTAGCTTTAGTCCGCTCCGCCAATATCCGCTCCCAGGATACCTGCAACCAGCCGCCCAGAGAAGGTTTGTACCTGCCACGGGGCTACCAAATACATGTACATGACTCCGACACTACTTCGGGTGTTTGCAATATACCGGAGACAAGAGGTGGGAGGGGTTTAGTCGTGATAAAATACTTTTGTTCCTATTATAAGCAACTGGTTTTGAATACTCCATAGAAGCTTCCATGACTGCAGCATCACTGACAAAAACTTTTTTCTCATTCTATATCCTGAAAACTAGAAATATCTCCATGCCTACGGTATCCCCATCCTTGGCTCTTCCATCCTACCGGATGACGCCCTCCGGAGAGCGTGTTACGACGTGCTGTTCCTGTTAGCGGACAGAAAGGACGTGAGGGACTCCTACTATAACTACTATGGCAGGGCCGCCATCATGGACGATACTGAGGTAAGATTCTCCATTTTGCAGCCAATGGTCCCACCCTTCTTTTGACAGTTTCGTATACTCTTGTTAGTTTTGTATAGGGAACAAGACTTCACAAAAAGGTGACTATGGTGTAATATAATCAGGCAAAGTCCTAACTCTAACCCTTAATCCTAATCGTAACCCTAACCCTAAGCCTAAGCCTAACCCTTACCCTAACCCTTACCCTAACCCGTACCCTAACCCTAACACTAACCCTTACCCTAACCCGTACCCTAACCTGTACCCTAACCCTTAACCTAACCAACCCTATTACAAAACCCTTAGCCCTAACCCTTATCCTAACCCGTACCCTGACCCGTATCCTGACCCGTACCCTAACCCTAACACTAACCCTTACGCTTACCCTAACCCGTACCCTAACCTGTACCCAGCTAACCTGCAGCCTTGATGCTTTTTCCTTGCAGGTGACGCTGGATATTCCTGAGCATTCCGACCTTGATGCAGCGTACAACGCGCGGGCCAGAGGCCTGGGCGGCACTGACGCCAGACCTGTGTCCACCGGGGCAGAGGAAAACGTCCTCTGCTTCAGCAATGACTCGTAAGGATGACTAGCCTGCTTCACACAAACTCTCTAGCCTGGTTACCAGACATACATTTGTAATATAGCTCCCGAGTCCTACATCCTCTCTATTTGCGGAGAGGATGCAGGACTCTGGAGCTATAATAGGTTTTTTTAAATGTTTTTTTTTATTGTCCAAACAGTACCCGTGCAGTCGCAGCCTTTATATGGCTGAATTGATGCAGGGTATCACACAATAATCAATACAAATCACAACAATCAAATAAAAATATTAATACACATGATACAAATGGGCCTAGCTGTATCCACTTGCAGACAATTTGATACTGTCTTTTGCAGCCACCGAAAGAATCTGCTTGGAGATTAGCTCTCAGACTAGAGAACCATTCACAGAACTACCAATAGGAGCTCTAGACATGGGGCATTCTAGAGCTCCTATTACTAATAGTATTAGTAGTTTTGTGAATGTGAATGCAGATCCTTGCATTGCTACAGAAGATTGTCTTACTGTCTGTGGAGGAATTTGTCTGCAACCACTTTATGATGATTCCTACATGGGTCTAAGTAAACTTTACTTTCAAATATTTTCCATGTTTCAAACAGGTACCGTGTTGAAGACATCTTCATCCACGAGTTTGCCCACGGACTGGACATCCTTGGCGCCCGGAAGGTCGTTGGTGATTTCGAAACCCGCCTGCAGACAGCTTACGACGACGCCCTGGCCAATGGACTGTGGGCGAACACTTACGCGGACGACACCAGGGACGAATACTGGGCCGAGGGTAGGTATAAATGCACAAAATACACTGGGAGCTAGACTAGTATTGCCAACTACCCTCGGGCTCAACTCTTCCCCATAGCAGTCATTTAGACAGGCGCGCATAGTGCTTTTGGCTAGTACCGATTAGGGAACCGATCCTGGGAGCCAGACTGGTAATGGCCAACTCCCCTTCTTGGGTTCAACTCCTCCCCATAGCAGTGATTTAGACAGGCGCGCGTTGTGCTTTTGGCTAGTATATACTGATTAGGGAACTGATCAACAACCTGATACTAGATCATCTAGCTGTCATTAAAATGCAGACTTCTATCTTGCAGAGGTAAACTGCAGTGAAAAAGGTTAATATATATATCTTAAAGTTTATAATTAGAATCCTAACCTTATTTGACTCAAGCTTAATGTCATGGAGGATGTCGGAACATAGGGTGTCAGAATGTAGGTACCGTATGTCAAAACATAGGTCCATGGGGTATTGAAACATAGAGGAGTCAGAACATACATGTAGGGGTATCATGTACATATATGGGATTTCAAAACATAGAGGTGAACAGAACATAAGAGTGTTGGAACATAGGGGACTGTATGAGTGTTGGAACATAGGGGAGTATATTAGGGTCTATTAGCATACCCTAATGCTGTACATAATGCCCTAACCACATTAACATTCTCAATTTCCGCATCTACAGGTGTGCAGAGCTTCTTCAACGTGAACCATGAGAGGGATCCGCCCGACGGGATCCACAACCACGTCAACACCCGCACAGAGCTTCAGGCGTACGACCCCGACCTCTACGCCATCATAGAGGACATCTTCCCGTGCGGGAACTTCCCCGTCAAGCGCTGCGTCAGGGGTGAGGAAGGGTTTTTGAAGAAAATGTTACCTAATTGCCACACAATAGACCAATCCTGACTGTCCAGTATTTCCACTAATCTCAAAGCAGATCTTTCGGTGGCTGCAAAAGACAGTATCAAATTGGTCAGGCTGTATCCATGGCTAATGGACACTCCTCTGGCCAATGGATACTGCCTTTCCACCATATGATCTGCTTGGAGATTATATTTCAACCAAGGACAGCATGCATGCAGAGCTTGAAATACTTTTGTATGCATACCTGCAAGTATAGCTGGGAGAATCATCATTTTTAGCTTTAAACTCCTGCAGTTAGATGTGCAAAGATTGGGTGTAACAGGTTGTTCGGTGTAATATACAGTGTTGTAGCTAGCTGCTGCTGCACTGCGCACAGTGTTGAACAGATGTTGGTAGAATTTTGTTTCTGAATGAAAGTTATCAAATCGCATGTTGCCCACACAGACTATGCCAGCTACACGCTGAAGATGGACTGCTTCTCTGCGAACCATCAGAGGCTCACTGTGGTGGGGAATGCCGTCTGGGGTGATGCTTTCACAACCACTCCTGCCTCACAAGGTACAATAATACACTCTTTCTTGCAGGGAAATTGACAGACTAAGTAACACTGGACAAAATAGATTCGGATACACTCATATCATATCCAGTCCAGATTCCAGTGGCATCCACTCATATATTTTCGTATTCTTAGTTTAAAGAATACAGCAAGATACCAGCCCGGATATGAGTGTAACAGAACCTATTTTGTCTAGTGTAGTATTTTACTGCACTGTAAGAAGTTTTTATCCACTGGCAGTTTCTTTGAGCAAGGCAAAAGAGTCCATGGTTTAATCACAAGGTAGTTCCTGTCAAAGTTCAAACTAAATGGTTATCATCAAATGTAGATTTTAGACTCAAATTCTTGGCTCAAATTTCTATCCTTTTATGACATCATATTTTGATCAAGATGAGGAGAAAAAAAGATATGGGAACTCAATTTGATGGAGAACATGTTTTGCCCCAGTTGCAAATGTTGGCTTCCTAGTTGAACTCTACTTGACAAGGCTTTTCTGTGATAGGTACAACACTGACACCAGCTGCAAGCACACCGACAGTGAGCCAGACACCAACAGTGAGCCAGACGCCCGCTGTTAGCACACCAACAACTCGTACAGCAAGCATCGCTCCACAGTCCACAGGTTTGAGTCTTGTTTGTTTTTACAGTTTTTGAATGCACAGGATTTATGGGTACAGTGAGGGTCTGCATGCGTTTTTCTGTAAGATACAGTGAGCTACAAGCCAAAGGACGAAACATCGAACCAACCAAAGAACGCCCATCCAACCGACCCACAAACCAAGCAACCTAGCAACCAAACAAGCACACTAATCAACATACATTTTATATGTGCAATCTTTGAAGATCTGCTCTGCAATAGGTTCCACTCCTACAGTGTCGTTGGCCCAGTCATCTACAGTTACAACTCCAACTCCAACTCAGTCATCTACAGTAACTCCAACTCAATCAACTCCAACTCCAACTGTGACATCGAGAGCAACCACAACAACACCTGCCCAGTCCACAGGTTGGAATCCTCTGATGCTTACACTGTTATAGATCCAGGATCAGGAGTATGGTGGCAAATATCCAGTGGTGTTAAAGGGACTATAATTTGTCAAACTGGTGACCCCAACCTTCACGATAGTCGGTGCTGGTTGTAGAACACTCTATGTGGTGCAGGTTTTTTCAAGGGTGGCCTTGTTAAACATGGTGTAGTATGTAAGTTGTAGTCTTGTTATGGCATGGTCGATTTAGAGTCACTAGAAGCTCCTTCCTTCCCACCACCCCTGCTTATATCATCATCGTGACGTACATGTAGCCATATCGTCATTGACGCTGACTCTTGAACTGTCTGAACACTTATGTGCAATAGGAACAACACCTACGGTGGGGCAGACTCCTAGTGTGAGCACACCTAGTGTGAGCACATCTAGTGTGAGCACACCTATAATTGTGAGCACACCAACAGTTTCGACTTCAAGATCAACAACAAGGATAACCAGCACTGAAGCACAATCAACATCAGGTCCCTTTCATTCTTCATCAATGGATAAAGACATCAGCACTGCTTCTAACCCACATTTGCATTCATATGAATTTTCGTACGTCTATAAATGTTCACGTTTATAAAGCATTGTCTAACAAGCACAGCAAGTACACAAGGAGATTCTGAGACAACAGTTACCAGTCTTTGTCTCACATGTTCAGCCATGTCAGACTCAGGAATAAGGTGGCAACACCTGGCCATAGTCATCACTGTTTTGCAGCAATGGCATTGCTCACAGCTGATCATGTATGATCGTGTAGCGTTTAGATGGTTATGCTTTTTGTCTCTTCACTTGGTGATGGCAGCCTTTGCAATTATAAATTGTTATTATGAGCAGGTACAACACCTACGGTGGGGCAGACTCCTACTAGTAGTTTGAGCACACCCACAGTTTTGACTTCAAGATCAACAACAAGGATGGCCAGCACTGCATCACAGTCGACATCAGGTCTCTTTTATTGTACATCAATATAGACATCAGCACTGCTTCTAACCCACATTTGCATTCATATGTATTCTACTATCTGTAAATGTTCACGTTTAAACTTAAATAAGCACAGAAATCACAAGAGGAGGGACAACAGCTGTCTTTGTCTCACACGTTCATGGATAGACTCAGGAATAAGGTGGCAACATCTGGTCATGGTCATCGCTGTTTTGTAGCAATGACATTGCTGATCATGTCAAAGAGTGGTGGCATAAATAGGATGGTGGTGTAGCTCTTAGATGGTTTATGTAATGCTCTTTGTCTCTTCAACTGGTGACGGCAGCCTTTGCAATTTATAATGTTATCCGTAGCAAGTTGTATTGTGCACTTGTGTAACAGGTACAACACCTACGGTGGGGCAGACTCCTAGCGTGAGCACACCTACTGTGAGCACACCAACTTTGAGCACACAGACAGTTCTGACTTCAAGAGCAACAACAAGAGTGGCCAGCACCATGGCACAGTCATCAGCAGGTTATAATCTGAGTTTTACAGATCATATCTGTGCCAGATCACACCGGACTCCCGTACATTGAACTGTAATCTTGTCTTGTTCCTGTTCGTACTATCTTTTGTACATGTTAAGCACTTACAAATGGATAATATACAATGGACAAACATCATCAAACCTGCACATTTACGAAGCTCTACCAACAAATCAAGCATCTAACAAAAGCATATTAAGTAACTAGCCAAGCAACCAACCCATCTATCCACACACCAACGAACAAACCAACAACCAAGCAATCAACCAAACAACCCACCATTCAATCTACTAATCAAGCAAGCACTCAACTCTTCACCTACATGTACACGTACAAAATGTCTGAAGATCTGTCCTGTGGTAGGTTTGACACCATCAGTGGCCCAGGAGTCTACATCTACAGCAACAACACCAACTTTGGGGTCCTCATCAAGAGCGGGAACAAGTACAGCTCAGTCATCAGGTTTGACCATTTGTCCACGGGCCAGATTCACACTGATAGTGATAATGGTGGCACCTGCTTTTTTGGGTCCACTATTATAATAGCATCTCACATGTAGTGAAAATAGATCAACTGCACTGTCCGTGGTGATGAACTAAGGGTTGGGTTACGGATTATTCATCTTAAAGCTTTTGTAGCGATGGTGGTGGCGGCCCAATGTAACCCCGGAGCTATGCTATGGGTCCCTCAGGTATGGAGAAGAGTCTCACTCTGCAGTGTTTCTCTTCATTTTCGATACCCCATGTATACCTGACCCCCCCCCCCCGGTATTGTCTGGTCTTCTGTAAGGTGGCTTCACATGTTAGTATGCTGTGTATGTATGGTGAATTGCTATTGTCCAACCCTACCTGTGCTTAAATGCTGCCAGCAGCTTTTGTAGTGATGATGGTGGTGGCCCGATGTACCCCCTATATTGTGCAGGTCTTGTGAAAGGCCAGGCTTCACATGTTTGTATGCTGTGTATGTATGGTGAATTGCTATTGTCCAACCCTACCCGTGCTTAAATGCTGCCAGTAATGCTATCCTGGAAGGCTTGACGAAGATGCAGCACTCCCCAGCAGTAAATCCCATATAGTTGTTTGCCCATTAAGGGCAAATGTGTTCACCAGAAGGCGGAGGCTGTGACGTTAATGAACTCTTACTACGTGATAGGTACCTCAACAACTGCAGGGCAGATGTCTTCCAGCAGGGCAATGACAGTAACAGTGGCAGGTGTGACAAGCACCATGGCACGGACAACAGGTTTATGAAGACAATTTGTATACGTTGTCCAGCTAATACTTTGTCCAACTTGTTCATCATTGACCATGCTTATGGCAGTAGGTTGCATACTTTAAAATTGTAGGTGACATTATGTATGCTGCATCGTTAGGAAAGACCTTTTTGATATGCCTTCTATACAAGACATCCAAAGTCATCCAAGATGTTACACATCTGCATCATGTACAAGACTGCACTTCTACTAATGGCAGTTTCTTGTACACCATGGAACAGTCCATCTCCAGGCCATTAAGATTGGAATTGAATGATTCAATGGCCCAGCTGTACATGTTCTTTTGACAATTCTCCTGCTAGATCTGCTAGGAAATGTTGCCCCATACCCTGTATGTAATGTGCACTCTATAAATTTGCGTTAGGTACAACACGTCAGGCATCTTCTGTAAGGACACCCACAGTTCTGACTACTCGAGCGACAACACGTACAGCAAGCATCTCAGAGCAATCAACAGGTTCTGGTGTAAACAAACTTTTGCTTTCATCGACTGCAACATATCCAGAACCAACCTGACAACTGTTTGCTTTTGTAGTCTAGTATGCTGCTTCACAGGCTACATGTATACATGGTTGCAGGATTAGGTTCACAGTATAGTATTTAGCACAGCAGAACCTTCATCTGGACTGGCGATTGTACTTTGCCACATGCATGCATGACTTGACTGGTTTGTCCCAGGCAACAGTGGATCATTGACGACATTAACCTAAAGCTTCGCAGCCATTGCATTTTCCTCATTCATCAATTTAGTGTATATTCAAACATTGGACAGGTACAGGCGCGGGCAGAACTACACCAACGGCAGGACGCTCGACCGCCGGTGCATCGTCTGTCACCCCATTGCCGTCAACCACCATGTCCAGGGCACCATTAGCGTCCACTAGTACTGCACATGCCGGCACCACGTCCACTGTTTCATCAGCGACATCAACTGCCGTGCCTTCAACTACAACTGGAGCTGCTGTCACACCTGCAATCACGACTACCACAAACCCAACAGGTTGCTTCCAGAATTTTTGCTGCCGAATGGAGATGAAATAAAGAGCACCACCAATTGCCTGTCAAATGCATGTCACCACAAATGCATGTCTGTTTAATCACGACTACCACAAATCCAACAGGTTACCTCCAGAGTTTTTGCTGCCGAATGGAGATGAAATAAAGAGCACCACCAATTGCCTGTCAAATGCATGTCATCACCACAAATGCATGTCTGTTTAATTACGACTACCAACAGGTTGCCTCCAGACTTTTTGCTGCCAAATGGAGATGAAATAAACAGCATCATCACCATGCCTGTCGAATGCAAAAGTACTTCTTGCTTCAGAGATGCATGATGCCGCTGTTGGTCTGCAACGAGCCGAGTCCCGGTGACGTGGGCAGAGGCATACCAGACCGTGCTGCACCCTTTTTTGCAGAGCAACATATACACACTAGCTATAGGTCACAATGCATGATGTGCCCTGAATGCTTGAGCATGGCTGCGACTGTACCACATACAGCCACACCAGTGCATATATTTTTCTGTCTCAATGTTAAAAGTGCTACAGGAAGCATCTTCATCCCAAGAGGTCTTCTCAGTGGTGTGCATAATGCTTCTGCATGGATGCTGAAGTTGCTACTAGGAAATTTTAGATATATGACCCATTGAAAGATGGCTTTTATCACAGGCGTTGCATGTCGTAAGTCTGTCCAAGGGTACTGTCAAAAATTGCTTTCACAATGCACCTTGCGATATACTGTGCACTGTGTTGCACAGTGGTCTTTGCGATGCATGCAATATCTTTTGATCTATCAACCATGGTTTAATGATATTATAAAGTGGATTGATGCTTTATGCTGCGCTCAAAATATAACATACATGTACTCCCTATGATGTAAGCATGTTAACGTATGACTTTTGGTGCTGTAACACATTATTTGCTGGCTGTGATATACACTGGGACACATCATCATCTGACAGGCTATGATGCAACTGCAGACTTAGTACTAGTAAGCACTACGTTAAACTCCTCCTCTGCCAAGGAAACGACCATGACAGCCCAGAATCTTCTGTCTAGCATAGCCTTCCCCATTACATTTTTCCATAAAATTTTACCAATAGGATGACTGGGCAACAGTGAGTCAAATCACTTTCCATTATGCTTAACACTTATATGTAACATGCCGGTACACTTCTACCTTCAGGTTCTCCTGGAACTGGGGCTGACAGGAGCACTCCTACCCTAGTCACCAGACTCGTCACAACTGTCAGCGCCACAGAGTCTCTTCCAAGTGAGTATAACGGTTACAATGCTATGTTCTGACAACCTAAAAACCATTATAAATACTCTTTTTCAAGAGTAGCATCTGTAGTCCAATACCAACTGACCATGCCAGTGGACCAAGAGGTTGGAATCTCGAATCCCGCCTGTAACATCACTCACCAAGACTTTCAGCCAACGCTTTGGTGACCATCTGTCACCTTCCTCAGGGCAATGAACGTCTTCGTTGTGTAAGAGTCTCTTTATTCAGTGACTTACCAACCTGATGAAACTACCAGTATTCACACCACTCTCTTATTAGCCTGGATGCCAGACCCACAGTACACTAAGTTATCCAGTGTGATAATTTTGGGCCTAGTGTCCTGTGGGTCTGGCATCCAGGGTACTAGTCTCTCATTGGTTGAACTTCTGATTGTGTCGGACAGCTAGGATTGATCAATATTAACTGTTGATTGAAACTGATGCCGAATGTTTGTTTCCTTCCACAGAACCACCTGGAATTGATGTAGCCATCATTGTGGCCGGTGTGCTGGGCGGCGTGGCGTGTGTGCTTGTGATTGCCGCCGCCATATGGGGTGGCCTTAAGATTGCAGCTGCAAAGACTGCTGCTGTGGTCGCCATTAAACCAGCTCCCTGAAACTACTGTAACATGCTGATGGAGAAATGTACACTGGATGGACAGGACAGATAAAAATTACCATATATTACAAGAACATATAGTTGTTCTTAGACCAGTTATCAAACCTATTTGAACCTAAAACCATGCTAAATTGTTCTGTCTAAATAATGTCTGTCGTTGTCTGAGAATTGCTTTTATTTCCAATTTTTTAAAATGTCTTTTGCTTTTTTTCTGGTCTTTTTGTTGTTTTCTTCATGCCTCTTCAATCTGTTTGGTCCTTCCAAGGCCCTTGGTCCTTCCTTATCATTTTTGTCTACAGCCATTTCACTACATCGTCTATTGGGATCCTTTTTCCCCACCTTAACTTTTGTGAACTTGGTCCTTTGTCTGTCACTCGTTTATTTCTGCCATGATTGTCCTTCTTATTCTAACTGAATGCCTTGAGCAGAAATCAACAGCCAAATCCAAACTCTCAGGATATCACTACAGCCTACAGGTATTAAACCCTCCCAGTTTCAGGCCTACATCAGAGCTGGGCTTGGCACCCAGAGGGTTAACTTAAAAACAGCCTTACTAGTCTTTCTTCAACCTGTCCTAACAAGCCTGCGGTGAGCTTAGGGTGAGCTCACGCAAATCAGACTTTGGTGCCATTTCAAATCACTATTTTTCTACTGAGATTTTTCTACACCCTTCTCAGATGCTACACTAAAATAATAGTAACAGTGCTAGTGTAGGTGGGGCAGGAATTACAACAATTTTTTCTTAACACTTAACAAAATGTACATAAAGAATAGACTACTTTATTGTGAAGCTGGCCTATGTGGATAGATGTTCATTATACTAGACTTTAAATGTTTGTGTCAATGGGAAAAATTATCTATTAAAGGGGCAAATGATCATATTGGCCAGTTGTTCCTTAATATGTAGTAGAGGTGGTGACTTGTACAAGTTTAACTCAGTGTAATATAAAAGCATTATGTATTTCTTTCATCAGTTCTGTGTTTTATGTTTTGCCCATGAGATTCAATATAGACTAAGGAAAAGCCATATCACATGGGTATAAAATGATAATAAGTTATCATTATTATCAAATCTTTTATTTCTTTGATGAACTATTTATGTGAATGTTAACAATGCGGAGAGTTACAATATGATTTTTTGCCATCTTCCTTGCTATGCTGCATGTAAATATAATTCTTTGATGGACCTTATATATATATATATAATTGCTAAAAGTTGTTAAGAACTAATGTATTTTAATTATATGGTAAATGAATCACGACTGTACATTTTTGATGTGGATTCTTTGCACTTACACTTGTATAATTGTTACTGAAAACAGAATGCTTATTCAGCATTCAAGGACTTTAATTTGATCTGTGATGGTCACATTCTAAGCTGCTTTATTGCTACACTGGTGCCTTAATCTGAAGGCCTTCACTGCATGAAATTCGATCTTCAAACCCATATAAAGTATCTGAAAAGTTTCTGTTAGTGTTAGTTCACAATTGTAAAAAAAATGGAACTTTACACATGCTTTAAGGTACGCTTAAACTTTAAGGATCAGATTTTATGTAGTGCTTAAAGAATCAATTATTTGGTTCCCAGGTTGTCTATATTATTACTAAAAAAATATATACATTGTATCTCCAAATAGCAGATAAGATATTTAAGCATATTTTCAAAATCAATATTTTTCTAAAACGTGCTTAAATTGTGAACAATAGCGACACAGTCAATCTAAAATAGGATAATATTGTGGTTAGTTCTACCTTTTGACAGTGGAAAGTTGTGTGAACAATATTTGGGAGCCAAGTAGTTGATTTATTTGTTACGGCCTGTGTCAAATGCGTTTGTGGAAATGTAATATATTTATGAGTTTGTTTGGTGGTGTATGTGCAATAATCATAATCGTGTGAGAATGTCTTTGCAATTGGGGAGCTTGCTGCTGTACAATGGATACTAACATTTATATTTATAATAACTTAAAATAAGTGTCTTTGTTTGCATTTATCATATTACAACTATCTTCAACAACAAGATGACTATGGCTGTCTTTTTCTGTCGTGAAAATACCTCCTATCATACATGAACAGGGGAATTCGAATGATTGAATGCTGTTTTTGGAAAGACTTACAGTGGTCTCTCCAAGGAGGTTAAAAAAGAGAAACCTCCTTGGTCTCTCCAAAAACTATCCCATTGGTACAGTGCAACAGCGACATCTAGCAACTTGGACACAAACTGCAGGATGACTCTACCTCCCTTCATTGAACCTGACAACTTTCCCTCATGACTTCAATGAAAAGCGACCAACAGGACAATTTGAATAGACAAACTCTCAAACAAAAACATACCTTATAGTACATATGATAATAGCAAATGCAACAAACGCACATAGACTTTTTCTCCTTTATTTATATATGATGACTTTTCACAGAACTCTGCTGGCAAATAGGCGCCACATATCAACATGTTTCGGTCTCAATAAGATCTCTTACCACTGGCATGTATCAACAGGAAGGACAATGCTCTATGCATTGAAGTTCAGAGAACAGCACCAGTCTTAACACTAGCCATTTTGCTGTCCTTGAATGAGACAGCATTTGTCTACAACTTAGTACACTACAAGGATGTCTCTTCCCTGATTTGCACAATTGCCTGTTGTTCATAGAACAACTGAAGAGAGTTCAGTGTAATACATTGTATAGCCAGCTGCTGACGCACCACGTGCCTGCAAAGCTGGTGTGTTACTCAGAGGGGCGGTAATACCGGCTACATGTATATACAGATACAGATACAATGAAATATTATATTCATCATAACAACTTATGACAACATATAGTGATAATAGGGGTCCCTTGAAACTTCAATTTACCACAAGGTCCCTTAAACTTCACTCCATGACGGATATCTGCACAAAACATAATGCAACTTGAGAGTTGACTATCAACCAAGTTATCAACCAAGGATTGAGGTGTTCAAAAACATTCTTCCCTAGAGCTAACGCAGAGTGAAACTCGCTGTCTCAGGGGGCACTAGGGGCATCATTCGATAGCTTTGAACAATGTCTAGAGTTAGATGTTCAAGGGTTAGGTGTAACAAGTCGATCAGTGTAATGTAGCCAGCTGATGCAGCACTGTGTGCCCGTGAAGTTGGTGTGTTATACCGGCTATACCGATACAGATACAGACAGACAGACTATCACCTGACAAAATTTGGGGGTGCAACGACGAAACTGGAGCTGTCAAGGTCACGACGACATCTGTGCGTCCATGGCGGATGCCGCCCAGTCAGGTGCATGCTGGGATATCTTCTCCAGCAGGTTGTTGACCTGAAAGCAGAGGCTCTGGATCTGCTTGTCCCACATGGGCAGCGCCTCCCGCGACTCGAAGTGGACTATCCCGTCGATCTGGTCGATGTAGCCGTTCATCCGCCCCTCCGAGATCATCTGGGACGCAATCTTCTCCGCCTTCGCCGGCGGGATCTCCAGCAGAGCACCCAGCTCCTGGAACATGATTTTTTTTAAACTTTATTGTTGTTCATCAAGGCTCGAAATACTGGGTGCAAGAGCACCTTAGTGCACCCAAATTTGGAGCTGCGCCATTTTCTTTCTATGGGTGCACCAGTGCACACAAACATTTTCATAGGTTAACGTATGCAAATATTATGTTAAACTTAAAGTAACATACAGTATTATTCATTTATCAATTGTCCAACAAGGGCTTTTCTAGAAAATTAGCATGAGGGAGCAGATCACTAGCATGGCGAGGGAGCCAAGTGACCGAGTGGGGGTTAGCACAGGATTTTAGAATTTTTACTAGAGTAACACAGTTTGTAATGCTAGAATTCAATGTTATGACATTTTGTTTCTATATTATCACTGAAAAAAGATTATTTCGAGAAAAACTTATTGTTGTGGTAGCTATAGCCACGTAGGGTTCAATTTGAGAATTGATATGGGGGTGCTGCCGTGCTGGTTGGTTATATAAGGGAGCTGCACCCTTGTTTCCCAAGTTTACAAAAACCCCCTGTATTGTGTAAAATCTTGGAAGATGTTACCTGGAAGGTGATGTTGTTGTAGAGCTTGCTGGCGGAGAGCAGGTTGTGCTCGATCACGGCGCGGTCCAGGATGGTGGAACCGTCCGCCGTGGTTGCCAGCTGGTGCGGCGACAGCTGGGCGGCAAACTCTTGAAGCTGTGTGAGACCAAAGTTCAAACATGTAAGGATACAATGTTGAAACAAATACAGAGAGCAGAAGCAGGAGAGTTTGAACATGAAATTATCAATAAGTTAGCCTGGTGTTCAGCAGTCTATCGTGGTTAGGGCAGGTTCTCTTTGCACCAGCAGGAGCTCTTCCCCACAACTCCCTGGCAGGTTCTGCACAGAGTTAGCCATGGTGGGCCAACTCCTGGGCACTTTCACTTGGCATCCTGTTGAGCTGGACGGGGGAAAACTATTGGAGCTCTAAAGACAGCCTGCCCCAACCACGATAGACAGGACAGGAGGACAGAAAGAACTGCTTGGAGATTACTAGTAGCTATAGTTCTTATGGAATATGCAAAGTGGAATGAAGCCTGTCGTTGCAAATAACACAGAAGATGATCACCTGGTCACTGCGGATAATGCGGTCGAGGTACATCTTCTCCAGGATGCCGTAGGAGGGCAGCTGCTGACAACGCTCGTCCTTGAACAGCGTGGCCAGCATGCGCGACCGCTGCTGCCCGGCGGAGGCCAGCACGGTGCAGTGCAGGGCGTGCTTCAGCGCCTCCATCCTCTCGTCCTCGTGCACAATCGTCTTGTACGACAGCTCGTTGTAGCGCTGCGCCGCCTCGATGAACTTTCTGCGGTAGTCAAGCACACGGGCGTAGCAGACCTACAGAAGAGAAGGATAGCTAGTAAGTAAAGAGACTCTTTTTACACAGCACAAGTCTTTTATTGAGCCGACGTTTCAGTGACTGTCTGTCATCTTCCTCAGGGCAATTCTGACTGGTTCACATTGCACTGAAGCACAGGTGTCACTGCTATAGATACATTCCCAAACATACAATAGCTAGTAGACTTGGAACGCGCTTCCTCAAGTCATAACAGAAATCGCAGAGCCTGACAACTTCAAGGAAGCCATACTCTTACACCTGTGCATCTTACCTCAACAAAGGGGTGTTGGCATGTGTAGTATATTCAAGAAGAAGAAGAAGTACCTTGTACAGGATCTGCAGCTGGGGGTTGGTGGAGTCTGCCTGTAGGAGCGAGGCGCGGTTCACGTACGCTTCCGCTTGTACTGGATCCTCATCTTCAAGATACAGCCTGCAGTGGTAGAAATACTATTTTTCAATGTTCTGCAATGCATCAAATTTTGTTCTGCAATTTGGAAACACTTCCTGCAAATATACAAGCCTGAAGCCTCCATACTACAACCTTCTAAACCTATAGCTATCAATAAAGAATCAAGTATCTCTGCAAAATGCAGAATGCAGATGGGTATTTGGAACACTTGCCTGGCGATCTTGAGGTAAGTCTCGAGCTTGTAATCGACGGAGTACTGCTTCTGCCCGGTCTCCAGCGGGATGCCCACCAGGACGTGCGCCGCGTCCCGCCAGCACGACTCGTTCTCGTACAGCTGCGCCAGGTGCTGCCGAACAGACGCCACCTGTGGTAGGGATTGGTTTATTTCTCATTTTAAAAATTTACAGCCTCGCAGTGTTCGCTATATTATACATGTATCGATCAATCCGGATAAGAAGAATGTAACACCATCGAAATAACATTTGACAGACATAAAATTTTTCGAATCAAAGTATTGTTGGTAAACACAATTAAAAAATTTTCTCCCTTCTAATACTTGTTCCTCACTCAGGAAGATCAGAAAGCGGAGAATGGAGCTGGCTGGACACAGCATCCAACATCCTGAGCTGTTAGCCAGCCAGTTTATCCTGTGGGAGCCAGAAGAGGGAAGGAAGAGAAGGGGTAGAAGAGGAACAACATTCATTGACACCCTGAAGCGGGATGCTGGGCTCAGAAACATCACCACATGTACAGCAGAACTCCACTCACTGATAGAGGACAGAGATGAGTGGAGAAAATGAACCCATTGTCAACTGTGATGATATCCCTGACGTCCCCGTTCAAGGTAAAGGTTGATCACTCACCTGTTCCTCAAATGAGATGACTCGGGGCTGGACCTTGTCGAGTGTGAAGTGCGCCACGTCCTTCGCCACGTCGTCCGGCAGCTTGGTCAGGTGGCTGCAGAACTCCGTCAGGATCTGCCGCGAGATCACCAGGCTCACGTTCTGGAGACAATAATGGACGATGTTTATTTACACGAAACTACGATCAAACTACATGCATGACTGTGGTTCATGTATCATCATGAAGAAATATAACAAATTTATGTTACATCCAACCATCTTGTCACGTCAGGACAAGATTGCATAATATATTATGTATTTCACAAATAAATAAATGTCTGCAGAACTTGGTCGGAATCTGCCGCGAGATCACCAGGCTCACGTTCTGCAGACAAATATAGACGATACTTATTTACACGAAACTCCGATAACACAAGTCACTATTATATAAGTGGTTCATGCATTATTATAAAGCAATATAAAAATCATGCTGGCATCACCAGATAGGAAATCGTCGCACAGTCTCACACTTGACAGTAATAAATCTATGTTACATCCAACTATCTTGTCACGTCAAGACAAGATTGAATAAGTATTTCTCCAAACATTCAAGTAACTAAATTATGGTACTTTATCTTTCTACTACAATACTACTAGTACCGTACCTTATATGCAGAGCTTGAAATTTATGTCAGGGAGAACATGGCAAGTGTTTGTCTCTTTATATAAGTCAATACTATTACATGCAGGTAAGGATGATTCCAAAGAGAATCTGAGCACCTATAATAATTTGTAGGTAAACGATGCAACCAAGCTTAAGTGTAAGAAATAAGGCAGTGTACAGCCCTCTGGGCCTCTAGAGGGATTCGCAGAGCCACTAAACTTCGCATCTTCAACTCCAACGTCAAATCAGTCCTCCTCTATGGATCAGAAACATGGAGAACAACAAGAGCCACACAGCACAGGCTACAGACCTTCATCAACACCTGTCTCAGAAGAATCTTTAAGATCAGGTGGTGGGACAGAGTCAGCAACCAGGAGCTGTGGGACAGAGCTGGTCAGAAACCCATCAGAGAACTGATTCTAAAGAGGAAATGGTCCTGGATAGGACACACGCTGAGGAAGGCCAACTCTAGTATCACTCAGCAGGCCCTGACCTGGAATCCACAGGGGAAGAGAAAGAGGGGTAGACCCAAGAACAGCTGGAGAAGGGACACGGAGGAGGAGATGAGGAGTATCAGCACCAGCTGGCAGGACCTGAGAAAGAAGGCCCAGAGACGAGTGCAGTGGAAGAACATCATCGGTGGCCTATGCCCTGGCAGGGGCGAAGGGCCTAAGTAAGTAAAAGCATGGAGGTAATTTTACCTCCATGGTAAAAGTAAGTACATCAAGAAAGTTCTACTCTACATTATCCTCTTCTATCTTCCTTCAGTTTCCTGAAGGCGCGCGTTTGGGGCCCAACCGGCAGCGTACTTACCTCGTCAACCAGCGCTTCTACAAAGGCTTTCAGGCCATCGGAGAGTTCCTTCCCTGTCGTTTTGAGGATAGCCTCGAGCGTGTGACGGTACTTGTCGGCCAGGTCCTTGTGCGAGCCGCCGGCCTGCGCCAAGGCCTGGAGCTGTGCACGAAATTCCGCCATGACAGCTTCTTCTTGGTGTGCTTAAGGCTGACAGCAGCGAACCGCGAAAATTTTCACCTTCAGAGTTGCAGTCAATATGCACAATATCAATCAAACTTTTTCTGAATAAAATTATAATCTAATGAATTTTACAACAAATGTTATTTTATTTCAAGAATTCCCTGTTATATCCGCAAAATACCGTTATCGTGATGATGGTGATTTTACGTGTTAGTGCACTCTTTTTAAGGGTATGTAGGCGAAATCATGGAAGCTGGAAAACATAGAAACTTTTGTGAAAAAAATGCCCCACATCGACAAAGCTATCCACTATGATGCAAAAAGTTATAAAGTCGAAATATTTGTTTATATTGGCAGTTATTTTATCTATCGTCTTTGAAACAAGCGTGCACTAATATTTATCAGATCCGGTATCCTTACATACTTCAACAGATCCTTTGGTCGGTGACCCCTGACATTTGCAGATACAGGATGTAAACTTGATATTTTCGAACTCAGCAGGCCCTTATCTGATATACTAGCAGTAATTCATACACTGAACAGGCTCATTTTGAGGCAAAAACACGCCTGAAGTTCTCCAGTGATGACCAAAGCTCAGGGACTGCCGGAAAGATGAGAAAGCGGGGCATTTTCGCGGCTTTTCTGGTGGTGGGTTTTGTGGTGGGGTGGGGGGTGCTGACCCTGTACTCCCCCCACCACGCGACCTACGCTATCGGGCTGCAGAAGGCGGGCAGACACCCAAGGTCACGTCTGAAGGGCAGGAGGGGACACACAGGTGAGATAGCACACCTGGTCACGTCTGGTAGAACACTGTCAAAATGGCTACATGACGTCAGCCACTGTAACATGCACTTAATTAGAACCACATGTTTCTACAGACTCTATGTCTCTTCACACAAACACTTCTTGAGAGCAGTTGCATAAGTTCCTTTGTTTCCTTCAGCTATTGTTTCGATAGGCGTAGGCCACACCAACTTAATTGTATGGATGACATCCTCTGAAGAACCCCGAACTAGTGTGTGCGGGCCAATAAAAAAAATCCAGCCAAAAAAGGTGCTGCTAAACCAAAGGAATGCAACTACTAGTACCAACACAGATGAACTTAAATGACAAGGTTACATTTTGGTTTTGGAAACGGTCAGACGTTTCAGGCAGCATCCACTACCTTTCGTCAGGGACACTGTAGAGTTGTCAGAAAAGCAGGTTTAAAGTACGAACTATAAACCTGAAATGTCTGTCCATATCCAACATATCCCACACTGGCCCTGGGAATACTGGCTAGGTGCCACTCCAGGGATGTTGAATTAGAGAGTAGAAACATAAAGACACTCCTGGCCCGCACCGGGAATCAAACCCACGCCCAACAGTTTACAACCCAACGCTCTTAACCACTCGGCTAGAGCCGTTAGACGGAGCAGTTGGTAGCAGTTGGTAGCACTTATTAACCCCCCACTGATACACTGTTGATAGCACTTATTAACCCCCCACTGATACACTGTTTCTTGGTGTATCTTATTACATGTACCTGTATGTCTAACCTTCACCGATGTTATGTATCAAGGTTACATTTTTTGTAAATTTTTCAGCAGGGACCCTAAAGCTGAGTCGTGAGTACCCCCATGTGAGGGAGGTCCTGTATAACCGCCTGCCCAAGTGTGGCAGCACCAGTCTGAAGGCTCTCACCAGGAGACTTCTTTGCTATTTTGCACTGTCATGAAATTTGTTGTGTGTTCGTAGTTGTGTGTTTGAAATTAAAGTTAAAACCTTTGTTCCAACACAAGAGATTGTTCTCAGCTAGAGCTTTTAACCAGTTATACTCTCGTCTTTTTCTAGACTAACCCAGTGAGACTTGTCACATGGCTTCTCTGAAGTCAAGTGTGACGACAACACTGGGTCAAAGGTACCTGGTACTAACACAGATGAACTTTAATGACAAGGTTGCATTTTTGTTAAAATTTTTTTAGCAGGGACCCTAAAGCTGGGCCGTGTGGCAGCACCAGTCTGAAGGCTCTCTGAAACATGAATCTACCAAGTACCAACACAGATGAACTTTAATGGCAAGGTAACATTTTGTTTCAACTTTTCAGCAGGGACCCTAAAGCTGGGTCGTGAGTACCCGCACGTGCGGGATCCGGAGGTCCTGTATAACTGCCTGCCCAAGTGTGGCAGCACCAGTCTAAAGGCTCTCACCAGGAGACTCGCCGCTATGTTGCACTGTCATGAAAGTTGATGTGTGTTCGTAGTTGTGTGTTCAAAATTACATTTAAAACGTTTGTTCCAACACAAGAGATTGTTCTCAACTAGGACTTTTGACCCAGTGAGACTTGTCACAATAACTCACATGGCTTCTTTGAAGTGTGACGTCAAAGGCATTTGGTACTAACACAGATGAACTTTAATGACAACTTGAAGGTTACATTTTGTTTCAACTTTTCAGCCGGGACCCTAAAGCTGTCCCGTGAGTACCCACATGTGCGGGAGGTCCTGTATAACCGCCTGCCCAAGTGTGGCAGCACCAGTCTGAAGGCTCTCACCAGGAGACTTGCCAAGAAAAACCACTTCCACTTCAAGGAGTCCAACATCTGGGACCAGTTCCAGCTCAACCAGACAGGACTGGTCAGTGAGAGGGTATTACAGGGGTCTTGCTAGTTGCTTTTCTCTTTGTGGGATGCAGTATATTTTCCAAGCAGAGTTACTTTAATAGTTTATATTTTATTTATATGATTGTGATGATCAATTTAAAAAGCAGAAATTTGACTTTGACTTAATTGGGATCCACAATTTCAACCAATCACTAATATTTGACTAAATGTGCTTTAATCACTGCAACTGTATAGGTATAGCTACTTTCTCTAGCCCTTTTGCAAATTAATATAATTTGATTATATGCAAAAAGGATATATGTATAATAATTTATTTTAAAGTACATGTACTAAATGAATGCTGGGCTAATGGTCTTCCTTTGAATAAAATACCATCAAATACATTAGGACTTATTGTGAGATCAGTAAATGCATTCATGCATATGGATAGCTATCCTGCAGTACTGCCTACAACAGCTAGAGGGCATGTGTTATCCAGCAGGTGAGGATAGCCTTGCACATACATTTTGTATATATATAGACAGTCCTTTATGTTCCTCTTCTCTATTTCAGAAAGCCTTTGCGGAGGACTTCTACACAGTCCCATCACCTTTTATATATGAAAGACATGTCTACTTTGTTGATTTTGAGCAGTAAGTAACATTACCTATAGATTTGTATTTTTCTACTACTGTAAGTTGTAACAGTTAGTAGTATTGCGGGGCGGGGGCATTAAATGTCTTAATCTTTAGCATTAGATGTAGACATGACTGTCTTAATCTTTTTATTGTATTTTAGAATATGTATGTATCAACTAAATATTGTTTGGTATGTAGTTCATTTACAATGTTTTTCTTTTCATTTCATTACTTATACATCTTACAAATGTGCAATTAGCAACACTTGTTTTCAAAAAGACCTTAATCTGTGATATTTGTGACCATTAAGCTGTATTTGTTTTGTTTCCCTTCAGACTTGGCCTTAAGAGCCCAAAATACATCAACCTGGTCCGGGACCCCCTGGATAGAATAGTATCTTCCTTCCACTTCATGCGTTACGGGCGCAAGGGCGGACCAAACCACATCGTGACTCGCCTGTTCAACAAGTACCACAACGAGACGGACAGGAATCAGGTGAGTAGCATGGTGCTCACTAGTAGGTGCTCACACAACATGGCACTGAAAAAACAAATGCTGAGAAGAAAAGATTCCTGTACCGCATCAAAATCTTTTCAAGGTTTTTCAAGAACCATTGTAGTGTGGAACTCTTTGCTACCAAGTACAGTTGAGTCATCATCACTAGAACCTTTAAACAACTCCTGCAATTAAATGTGCAAAGATTGAGTGTAACAGGCCTTCCGTACAATATAGCCAGCTGCCGTCATGTCGCTTGCCTGCGAAGCTGGTGTGTTACTCCATGTGGTTATACCAGCTACATTTTGTATATAGATATAGATACAGATCTCATAGATACAGAATACTTCAGAGGACATGTTGTTACATGAATGTGTACTTCAAAAATTGTTTTTTGTAAATGTGTACCATGTGTTTTCTGCCACAAATGCTGTATTCTACAAAGCGTATGATGGCATGTACATTTTGGTAGAGTTTTCTGGCATTCATAGCAGGTTTTTTTTAACACAGTTTTGTCTTTGTTTTGTTTTGTAGACCTTTGATTCCTGTGTGTTGAACCGGTCCAAGGAGTGTTGGGGACCGAGGGTCAACCTCATGACACACTTCTTCTGTGGGCAGGACCCAGTGTGCAGGTAAGAGGCAATAGTAGTCCTGCAGTACTGTAGCTGACAGCTAGAGGGCATGTTTTAGCCAGCAGAGGAGGCCAAACTTTTTGCCATATCCAATGAAGATTTTGTGATAGAAATCTGGATTTACCGGTAGGTTCCAATCCAGTTTGCTTTCATGTGTCGGGCCTAGTAAAAAATGTTTTGAGTTTCCGGTTTCCTCATTGTACTCATTATGAATAGTAGTATAGCATAGCTTAGAATGTACTAGTTTTGCAGGTGTACTAGTTTTAGTCAGTAGTTCTATTCAACATTCTTATTTGCCAGACTTTGTACTCGTTGAACCTATATGTAGAATTTTGATAGACTCATACCAGTAACCTTATTATCTGCCATACATTGTACTGTAATTTGTACAAGTTACAATCATTGTGCTTAAACTTTGACTTGACTTGATCTGCAGAGACCCGGAGTCCATTAAGGCACTGGACAAAGCGAAGGAGAACATCAGGAGACATTACCTGGTGGTCGGTCTGCTGGAGGACTTCAACGGTTTCCTGAAGGTGCTGAGCAAGATCCTACCACAGTTCTACAGGGGGGTGACGGACCTCTGGAAGGACCTGGGTAAGTCTACTTGGT